AGCCAATACTTAAGTCGACTTTCAAGCACGTACACACATGCATATGTACAGATATGTAGATATATATATATATATACATATAATGACAGGGCAGGAGTTCTGGAACATAGATCTTTGCTAAGGATCTAGATAACCGGTTATAATTAGGGGTATTCGGGTTGTGGTGCGGCGTCACGAGTGCAATCTTCTCAATCCCTAAACCCAACACCCTAAACCCTAAACCGCGATAGCCTTGTTATATACTAGTTAGGTATCAAACCTATCTCTTTATGAGTGGTTTCTTCCACTACACTGGATGTTTGTTCAGCTATTAGTTTACCTGAAGATAAATATATCGTTAGACGGTAGGTGACCTACATATTCCTGGAATATACATATGAACCACACCACTAGTAGTCCGAGCATGTGCACATATACATGTCTTAATGCTTGGCTATATACCCACTGACTCTGCAAAGCTGGATTAGGGTCTGAATACAGTGTTGGGCACTTGCATGATCTAGACTTACAATATACTTCACCTGAATCAGGAACCAGCTGCGACGGATCCAGTCATTCCTGAAGATGGACATCAGCAGGGGATATATCGATGAACACGGCCGTTCCCGGCGAGCTCCTTGTCGCTTGTATCTGCTTGTTCGTTTTCATTCAAAAGAATCTTGTGCCATTAACTATATATATATAAGCATGGCTCTGCATGCAGGTGGGAGGGAAGGATCTAACGAAGACCGCCGTTTATCCCGGTACTTTGGCACTGAAGGCCCCTTGCTTGAAGAGACTTGACACTCCCTGATAAAACCTCTTGCAAATGCACGCTCTGTATGATTGAGGTTGCCGAGCTAATGGAGGAGCACTTCGCGACCCTGAAGCCAAGAGCTTCTGTCAGCGAGCTGGATATGGAGCTGTGCGATACCAATGATGCTGACAGCTCCGATTCCGGCCTGGAGGGTTTGGTCGGCTCCTCCATGCAGTAGCTACGCAGCTGCCAAGTTGCGTGTCCTTATTTGCAGCAGCTTGAATCAGGGGTCAGCTGCTATGGTGTGCACACATATATAGCCTTAGCGCCGACCGCAATCCTCGATGGAACCCAAAACCAGTCGCTGTGTGTGTTTGTGCGTGTGTGTGT